TCCATTCTATGTCCTCGATCCTTGTACACACAGATCTATGGATTGTCGACAACATTCACTTTATTTTATGCATTCAATCCTTGTATACATACTTGATGGATTGTTGACATCATGCACTCCGTTTTATGCCTTCAATCCTTGTACACACCTTAAAGATTGCGTACCCAAGTTCGTTCTATACCCTCAATCTTTGCACAAACACCTCATTGATTGTCGACTCCATTCTATGCACTCAATCCTGTACAGACACAAGTCTATATAAGATTACCTACAGCACTTCGTCATACTACAAACCCAACTTGCTATGACGGAGGGGACTTGATCGTGGCAATGCAACCAAAAAATCTCCTATGAGTGGAGTTTTTTTGAGGCTTGTATGCAGGAGCGTCCTTGACATACGCTTGAACCCTCTTTATACAAATTATAACAGATGGTGACGACAAGGAACTTAAAACTCACCTAATTTCTCTGAGTAAGTTTATGGACAGTTACATTATACGCGGCATTAAAAGACAAGTATGTCAGTTTAGATTTGAGCGCACACTCAGCGAAAGAGTATTTTCAAAGTTGAAGTTTTCCTAAAATTACTTTTTAAATTTTCGAAACGCACATGATTCATAAAAGGAATATAAATTCGAAATATTTGAATTAAATTACTCACATATTAGCTTTGATCTTTATTTCTTAGAATGGCCATACCAGCACGTGCTCCATGCAAAATATTTTTGACATTTTGACAAAGGCTTTTTCCTTTCAAAGTTTACGTTCTGAAATAAAAGATGCTTCATGGTCGTTACATCGCAGACAATTCTCCATCATTTGGTCGCTCAAAAAACGCATGATAAACTGTCGTCAAGTTTTGGATGTCATAAAACAGGAAGCGCTTCAGTGTAGTCCCCGATACACGTGCGCTTCTGGCGACATCTTCTAATTGCACAGCGACGACAAAATCGAGAGAAGATCAGAAATTTGGCCGCCCTCATAAAATAGCTTCTTCGAAGATGGTCAGAAATATCTTATAGTGTCAGTGCGCAAGTATGCTTTACAATTTTACCTTTACGTTTCAGTTCTTTATAATTTTTTATTTCAGATTAAAATGAAGAGAAATTAAGATATTCTGTATCTTAATACATCTTAATGATGTGCAGTGCATATTAAGGAACTACCAAGGCCTTTTAAATCGATCTTCAAAAATATAAGATATAAAATGTAAGTTATAAACACAAGTGCACGTGCATGGCTCTCAGTGGATATGTTCAACTATGCGGTTTAAATATTTCAATTATAGAGCTAAAAAAGGAAAAATCATAACAATGCGATTGGAATATTGTAAAACTTTTTATCCAACCCAGATTTGAGATAAGCTTATAGTAGAGCTTTACCCGAGGTGACCAAGCTCCCGAGGGAAGGGCCTCTGTCTTGTAGATACAAACAATCGTTGGTCTCGAAGGACGTCCATTTTTTCAATAAATGTAGGAAATGCGGCCTCACTTAGCGGTGCTTCAAGGCCAAATCTTGAAAAAGATCTGCCATATGCAGATTCGAAGCGAAATTCGAAGAATTTTCTGTTCAAAAGATCTACATAAATATCATATACTTTGAATTAAATATGATTAATTTCTATTTCACACACTTCATTCGCAAAGAGAAGACATGGATTATGAAATCTCCATTTATAAAATCGATGAAGAACTTACGACTGGTACAGCACCACGACCAGGAAATATCGTGACGTGCTTCACATGCATTCGAAAAAGCCCAAGAAAACGAGTTCTTATTGAAATGGAGCTGAAATTCGAAGATTAGCTGACGGTCTCTTTTATGCGCCGCGTTTGCTTGTAGCCGCATGCATTTGTTGACGCTTGCTATGCGCCGCAATTCATTTGTTTACGAAGCAATAGTAAAAAGCAATGCATGGGAAACCCCTCCCAGCTACCCCATGGATATATGATCAAAATATGGAATAACAGGTATTATATTGTAGAAAAGTATAGTATTGGTCAGTGGGCTCGGCGTTAGAGAATATGCCAAGCTATATGTCGCCGATTATTGTTACGTTTATGACTTGTCTTCTGGAGATCTGACATCTTTCCTTTGACCAAATATATGCAAAAATTAGGTTGATGTTAAATAGCTGCTGACAATCAACCAATTTGTGATATACATCTAGTCGAAACATAGTATAGCTTCAACTAGTCAGTTCTTTAACGTGTTCATACTCGGAGCGACCATACCAGCAGGGAGGCTGTTCCACATGTCGGTGACTCGAAGCGAGAAGAAATGTTGCCGCGTGGACGAGTTGCCTTGCCATTTTTTTAGTTTATAGCTGTGGCCCCTGGTGTTGGTTCCTGTTTCAAATTCTAGTAATCCTTCAGAGACCTTGTACAAACCACGAAATAATCAGTTTTCTTCAACGAGTTCGCCACTCGGACGTCGAAAACAAAGACTTAGAAGCTTCAAAATCGATAATCATTCTTCATAAGAATACCTTTATGCCCGGGACTGACCTTTTTGAATGTTTTTGAACGATATCGACTAAATCTTGGTTCTTATCAAATTTCGGTTACAACACGGAGTTTCCAAACTCTAGGTGCGGGCGCACGGCGCACAGAGCGACAAAGAACTACTTCATTGATTCGGCATAAAGGTATTCTCCTAAGAGCGTCTGATCAGTCCCAAAAGTTTATTGGCTTTATTAACTTGCGTGTAAATATGCTTAGAAAATTTCAACTCCTTCTCGAAATTAACTCTCAGATTTTTGTCTACTGTCAAAATCTTCATCGTCTCTCTCGTTGCGACCTCATCTTCTCATATTATAAGCTCGCAGTTCACTGTTTTTACCAAGGTTAAGTACTTTACACTCGTCAGTATTAAAACACAGCTGCCATGTATGAGCCCAGTCAATTAGGCTATCAAGATCATCTTGCAATTGCACTTTTTTCAACGCATCATTAACTGTATTATAAACTAAGTGAAATGTCATCGGCATACCTGGAGCACACGCTTGGCACTGCTTTTGGCAGATCGTTTATAAACGCAACGAATAAAACTGGTCCGAGATGCGGAACAGAACCCTTCTGAAGCGGGTAAGATCTCAGGTAAATGAACATTAATTCAGTACAGGGTCATGAAAAAAAGACAGAAAAACCAACTCCCATTTTACGCTTTCCGTTATGATTCGAGGACGAAGTTACCGATTCGTTGAAGGCCCTCAACTACGTATTGGTGTGTATATGCTGGTATCACAATCACTGCTTCCTGGTGACGAATCTAATAAAAACGATAACAATGCATCGTCGAGATATCGGCACTTACTTGCCTTGGTTACCAAGCAGTAAGTTGGTTTCTTAGAATCAACAGTGCTTTTTTCATGTCTCAACTGAAGCAGCCACATTCTTGAATTTGTACTCGGTAAGCATTTTCAGGAAAGTTTCCTGTTATGAAAGTATTTTCGTGTAAACATTGGTCGGACTGCGGTAGTTTGAACACATTGAAGAAGTCGACAACATGACAACATCAGTGAACTATTAAGGCCTGAGGTGAGTGCGCATAGTGGGGAATAACTACGGCGAAGGGAACATTCACTACTACAACAGTTGATATGTATGACGGAGCGTCGAACGAAGCTAGCAACTTCAGTGTAAGAAATTAAAAGTCGTTCATGATTTAAGCGAGCTTAAAAGGAAAATTTTCCAGACATGCTCTGCGGTCAATACAGCAAATTTTACCTCCTATTGGTCCATTTTCATGAGCTATGAGGCAAGTTAACTAACATTTATTCAAAATTAATTTCAATTTTCAGTTTGATTAGAACCTCAGATAATGTGGTTAATTTCATGAGATAGGATTTCTCACTTTACTTTGACTTCTCGAAGTTACAAACACAGTATGAATACATTTAAATTAATTTTTGCGATTGAAGAATTAGATGAATAATTGGTGTATGCGAATTAGATTGACAACATTGCGACGGTGTGTAACAAAAATTTCGGCCTCAATCTCGTGTCCGTCGTAAGGCGATAGAGATGAGATGCATTGCCTAAAATAAGGGAGAGCAATGCTAATATTACCAATTTCATCAAAACTAAGGAAAGAAAATATGCTTAAAATGATGTTAAGCACAAGAAAATAATCAGCTGTCCAAAACAAATCAAACGAAAGCTTCAAACATAAACAACATGATCCTGCCACATCCTAATAACGCCGTGTTGATGTTATGCTTTCAGTACAATAATAGCAGGAAAATAACGGCGGTCGAGATCAGCTTCAGTGCACGATTCTCTTAGTCGAGTTGGCGTTAGGAATGTCACTTCACGCTTGGCCATCGCGCGTGAAAGGACAGTAATTCAACAGTTGCGTTGATATCGCGTGTATTTAAAAAATTTTTCCTAATAGAGTTACAAAAACTTCCCACAATGTAGATATAGAGACAACATGACACATACTTTCCTTCAAACATATAAATATAAAGATATGTTGCCCACGCGTACGTAAATAACATCGTCCATCTGGCACACAATAAAACAGCAACAATAACATACTAATTGCCCTCCAGTAGCACCAGTAATTATTAGAAACTTGTACTTCTTCACAAATATATTACTTCTAGCCGTCAATCACTGTGTTTTATTTACTAAATTACATCATCCTGATTTTCAGGCTGCTATTCTACGATGAAGCACAAAATCAGATTAAAATTGATTAGATACTAATTGAAACGATAATGAGCAAAAATGAATTCACATATCGATAAGAAATTCTGAACAATAATAGATTGAATTAATCCTACTATCGGGGAGCGGAGAGTTAGTCCTACCCAGCAGTGAAGGTCCTCGGAATAACAATGAATTGACAGCAGCTGCACGATCACAGTCTGCCAGCTTCACGATTACAGTCTTCCAGCTTCAAGATTACAGTCTGCCAGTTTCACGATTACAGTCTTCCAGCTTCACGATTACAGTCTGCCAGTTTCACGATTACAGTCTTCCAGCTTCACGATTACAGTCTGCCAGAGCTTTACGATTACAGTCTTCCAGCTTCACAATTACAGTCTTCCAGCTTTACGATTACAGTCTTCCAGCTTTACGATTACAGTCTTCCAGCTTCACGACTACAGTCTGCCAGCTTCACGATTACAGTCTGCCAGCTTCACGATTACAGTCTTCCAGCTTCACGATTACAGTCTTCCAGCTTCACGATTACAGTCTGTCAGCTTCACGATTACAGTCTGTCGAGCGGAGGCAGATGCTCAAGAGAGAAATCGAGGAGCATTTGGCCGTAGGCTTTGCCCTGAGCGTCAGGACGGAGACTAGCAACTCCTCCGCCACCGAGGCTCTGGTCCAAAACGAAATTCAAACCGCCGATGCCTGGCACTTCGTACCTGTAATAAGTAAAAATTGCAATTAAAAAGACGTCGGCACTGAAAATGAAATTAATAACTATGCAGTATACTAAAAGGGCGGACATTTTTCAAATTAGCATGTGGAATTTACATACGGAACAATTTTTATCTGACGTCATTGAGTCGGAAGTGGAATTTACATACGAAACAATTTTTTTCTGATATCATTGAGTTGGAATAGACTAGCACAGGCTTCGAATTGGCCAATGTAATTGACCTCTTGACGCATAGTAGCGGGTCAACGTGAGGCGGGAAGACGTGTTGCATGTAGCGCGCTACAGCAGCGGCTGTAAGGCGTTCCTGTAGGAGAGGCAGCCACTCGGGCCTACGAGCGACCACACCGATGTTGCAACTGTCGCCTTTGTCGCCACTGCGCGTGTATGCCAGCGACTCCAGACGGTGGCTGCAATAATAATATTATAAACTTCGTGGTGTGATAAATTATTTCTAAACCCGAAAATATTATTTTATACACATAAATAATACTTTAATACTGGTTCAAATTATTGTTTCTGTAAGCGCCGCGTTCGCCTCCCTTCAACTGTAGGCGCTGATACGTCGTGATGGGATAAAATTATCAAAGAGAAAATTGCAGATTCTGGCAATGTGCATATTTTGAAGCTAATATTATCAGATAATAAGCGGGCGAATAAAAGGAATACAAACATAAAACGACTTGATGAATTTTAAACTGTATACAATACAATTATTAATATAGTTGATAAAACAATTCATGTATATGGCTCACGTGCAGTCTCCCAGGACAGTCGGGGCTTGCGAGGCATCAGGACTGTCGAGGCAGTAGGCGCTGTAGCGCACGCCTCCTGCAGCCTCGCAGTACTCCTCGCTGTGGTCGCCCACCGTCACCGTCAACTGAAAATGTTAATAATTACACTCAATGTATATTTTTACCAAGCCCTGAAGATAAGGAAATACTACATGTTAAAGCCAATAATTAACAAATTAGGCTTACAGCAATAAAAATTAAGTTCAACTAATTCAATGCAATACCATGCATTGAGAGAATAATTTGACCTCATCTTTAGTTTTTAAAATGTCGAATAAAAATTAAAAATTAGGGTTGTTTGTTTCTCAACAAGTGGATTTTTATTGAGCCATCTTCAATCAAGATATCTGAATGCAAATCAGCCATCCAAACGCAATGTTAAAAATTTGTCGTGTTTATAGGCAGTGCAGAGAACATTTTTATGCAGAATCTACTCCTTTACCAGCACTGGCCTAAAAATTCACAGTCAGCAGATAGATTTTCGATTTTATTGTTCATTAATAAACATTATGATAACGAAAATTCGAGAGAATTACCATCAGCAACGGGAAGGACGATCGAAAATATTTGCAATGATAACCAAGGTCACCGAATCCGGCAACCTTGTAGTGACGAACGCAAGAATTTCTTGCGGCTTTTTGTCCCACAGTTTCTGCGAGATCCAATTCAATCGTACGAATAGCAAGTAATTGCGTTCTTTCATCCATGATACTTGACTTGTGTGCTCCATTTAAGATCCTTAAAGAATTCTACATTTACAATAATTTATTTATTATTTTTTAAATATTAAAATTCTTAATTTAAAAGAATTCGACATTTACAATAATTGAAAAGCTTTTAACATGAATTCAAACAGCCACGGAAAAATTTCGAATGTTGCCATTAATTGTGTGTTCACGGCAACAACTGTTCAATTGTGTGTATCCGTCAGCGCCGCACTGAGGTGTCACAAGCTTTGGTTCGTCAGTTTCCAATGTAATAAGTAAAGGGGGAAATTTTAATAATTGAAAAATTACTTATTAGCGAATTGAACGGTAATTCTGCCTTTGTCTGCAAAGTGAGTGTAACATTCTACTAATAAGAATACAAATAATAACTACTGTACGAATGATTTGCCCGATTTATGCCTGAAATTTGAGAAATAAAAAAGAAGTTCAAAGAGATTCTTACAAGTACGTCAACTTTTTAGACGATGGATGAATGAAGCTTGAGAACGAGAGTCGTTTCCCATGTTTGGCGTATGGTGCTTCTCATTAGAAATACAAATATTAACATACACATAGCTTATGTGCCCCGAACTTCAAGAGGTGTAAACAGAAGTTCAAGGAGGTTCTTACAGGTACGTCAACTTTTTTGACTAGAGATGAATGAAGCTCAGAGACGGGAGTCGTTTCTCATGTTTGGCATTTGGTGCTTCTTATTAGGAATACAAATAATAACAGACGCATAGCTTATGTAATTTCAAGAAGTATAAATTGTAATTTCAAGAAGTATAAACAGAAGTTCAATGAGGTTCTTACAGGTACGTCAACTTTTTTGACCAGGGATGAATGAAGCTTGAGGACGGGAGTCGGTTTCGGCCGTCCCCCCACGAGAGCCATTAGCCCAGGGACGCCTCCAGTCCCCGCGGCGGCCACCTCCATGCTGAACACCTCCACTGCCCTCCGTGCTGCGTGCTGAACGCTCAGCCACAGCACGCTCTCGCGACTCTCCACAGCACTGCTTACAACGTAGCTCATTCACATAAGCATTGATAACCTTTAATTTTATCAAGTATTCTGGCGGCTTTTTGATAAAAAAAGCAAGGTATTTGAAAAAATGTTGGCAGTATTCTAGTATATCGACTAAATATTAGCAGAGTTTGTAAATTTTTAAATTTACGATTAACTTCTTTGTTTTACTCGTATGTTACCTGGAATGCAATTAATCAACTATAATAGAGATAACAAAACATTGCCTTGAGTACAACAAGTGAGCATTTATTTTTCGCTACATTTTAATATTACATATCAACTGTATTCAACATTTAAAAATCAACTCTTTAATAACAATACCAAAACTAACACCACACTCCTGACCGAGCGTGAGGTCCGTACGAGTCTTCAGCCCCTATCATCTGCACGTGGTATTGCGTGATCGGCGCCACCCCAGCCGTCCGCAGCAGCCGGTTCACTCTGCCAGAAACGCAACGACTTCAGTCATAAATAATCGAGAAATATGGCAATTATTCCAATGACACGAAGCAGATTATTATAATTACATGAATTGCGTGTATATTGAAAGAACAAAACCGTGGTATACGGATCACAAAAAAAGTTAATAAATTAAATAAATTGTTCAATTGAATTTAAATTTAAGCTCATCATTTATGGATAAAAATATATTTATACATACAGTACATAGACGACCACATCAGATGAAAACTTAATCTAATCAGAAAAAAAAAACACTTTCGACGAAGGTTCAAATAATTGTGATAACAAATATGATATATAGTATAATACGTAAATATAATAATATACAGTGGGGGGAAATAAATATTCGTACACTTGAAAAATCGTATTTTAATGTATGTAAGTACACAAACTTAACAGAAAAAGTGATTTAAATTATGTATAGAGACGCATAGTATTCGAAAATACTATCAAAAGAAATTAAATCTCAATGCAACAAAAAACAATGCAACATGTTCACTTTTGAGGGTGAAAAAAGTATTCGTACAAAATAATAAATCCGCATTATTTGAATTTAATACATGGTTGAATACCCTTTATTCAGCTCAACAGATACCAGTCTATTTCTATTCGTCTCGACCAATGATTTGCAGATGCTGACTGGTATTTTATACCATTCTTCTTGGCACACCACCTTAAGATTCTCAATGTTTGTTGGGGACCTTTTCTTAATTTGAATCTTCAAATACCGCCACAAGAATACTATGCGTCTCTATACATAATTTAAATCACTTTTCCTGTTAAGTTTGTGTACTTACATACATTAAAATACGATTTTTCAAGTGTACGAATATTTATTTCCCCTCACTGTATATACGAAATATATTAAAGATATTCCTCAAACAACACAAAGACCCGGGAGGGGAAATTTTTTCTCCCATAGTTTTTTTTAAATCCATTAGTAATCACGTCTTCTTATTGTATTTCATTTCACCATCGAGTCGAAGGAAATACTGCGACATCATAACTAAAGGTGAATTATTATATTATTTTTGATGAATGACTTAAGGCCCGTGGGTTGGGGAACATTGTGCAACATACACAGTCAAACCTTGCCCTTCCCCCGTTCGGGTGCAGCCGTTGGTGCCGACAATATTAAATATATAATAATCAGTTGCCAGTATGGCTTTTCTGCTTCACCTTTCAAGCGTAGCCTGGGCGGTAATTCTGCCTTTTTCTGCAGCGTACGGGCCTCCGATCACGCATACGGCCGTGGCTTTGAAGCCGCTCAGGTAAGTAGCACCGACCTGAAAAATAACGAAAAGAATTTATCAATAATCGACATCTTTCATTAATTAAAAATAAGCGAGGGCAAACATACTTAGTATAACTCTGGAGTATGTTTGTCAATTGTGTACATTAATGCATGCATGAAATTTGCGTTCAGTAGAGTAGAAAAGTTGATGAACATATAATTTTTAATGCAAGTTCTACCTTCTGAAGTGCTACCTAGCACCGTACTAATATATTTTGTCTCGGTAAGCATTGCAAAAATGACTAAATTAGAGAGTTTCTAAGTAACGTTGAATTTCTATGATTAATCCAGGTAGCATCTGAAATTGCTAGATATGAACGTCTTCCTAAAACCGTAGAAGCAATGCACATTTATTTTAGCAACAAATACGAAAGTTTTTATTCAAGTATAGAGAAGACAAGTTGTGTTCGGCATGAGATTCCCCAGGCACAGCACAAGATATAGTCGGCTAATCTAATGAATTGAAATTTTTAAAAATGATTGCCTTATTAGATAACTATTTGTTTAACTACTCTGCTTCATTAAAAATAAGCTCAAAACTGACAGAGTATGTACAGTTACATAAATCGTTTTATGTGATAGAAACTTGTAAAACTGACCTTACTTGTTGGATAATTATACACGTGACTACTCTGTTTTGACGAAAACTGGAATATAAGTTGAATAAATTGTAACAATTGTTATAAATGTTGTATAACTGACCTTATTTTTGTTTGATAACTACTATACGAGTGACTACTCTGTTTTGATGAAAACTGGAATATAAGTTGAATAAATCGTAACAATTGTAATAAATGTTGAACAACTGACCTTATAAGTGTCAGTTGGAGGTTTGCCCCGAGCGCCGGTCACCCTAACCCCCATCTGGCCGTCGTCCTCCAGCTGGGGTTCTCCCACAGTCACCCCCGTGATGTCCACAGCAAGGTCAGGCAGCACATAACTTCTCGGGTCACCTATCTGGAATTTTACCCGTATTGTAACACATTATTAACTATTATATATTTTACTGGGCACAATTCACTTTGAGTGCCACGATACAAAAATGTCACTTATACACAGAATGTCATATTTTTTCATGAAACAAAGATCCATAAAATTTTAAGAGTTAGTGACAGATTTTCGGGTGCTGAGCCTTCAAAAATCTCAACACACACACTTGAAGTGCACGACTGGCACTATTCATAACAGAAAGCATGGTAAATATTTTATTATAACGTGGTTTGATAAGTGCATGGTCACCTCATAGAGTAGCTGCTCGCACACCGTACCGCGCGACAGCAGCCCTCCTGACCCAGCTGGTTTACTGATCACGCACGCCCCGTCCGATGACACGCTTGCTATCGGGAACCCTGTGAAACGAAACGCTTTATTGGTACTTAGGTAGTGATGAGAACAACGTTTTCAATCAATTTAAATCTATTAATTTAATTTATAAGCAAACAGGGTTTCTGCTCGTTGCAGTCTCAGAAACTGTTTGGTGCACAAAATATAGCCTACTTTCTTCTAGAATTGCAGAGAGCTAGCAGAAATATGAAAAACCTACAAACGACAGTAGTACAAAACCTTTATGCAAATTTGAATTATGGTGAACGAAATATTGAATCTACAGGAATAGTGAACAAACATAAGCATAAGTATTATCAGTTATTATTAAAGTTAATAGGAGCACAAAGAGACATTAATATGTATGAAATCATGAATATAGATGCCTGAGCATTACCTATTAAAACGGCCTTGATGGGAGAAAAGACATTAATCACACCTCATTAAAAAGGAGTCTGCAACAGAACTGAAGATCAAATGTCGGATGATAAAATAAAAAAAATATTAAATAAACCTGGAATGTATGTATTTTAAATGAGAGAAAATAATAACTAATGTTGGCGCAAACCCATATTGTGCCAGTCTTGTACCAGCCGCCAGTCAGTGTGGTTGCCACCGGTGGCTTGGGCGCCACACTCGAGCAAATGTCCAGCCACACTTGCCCCGGCAGCCTCTTGCAGGGATGACAGCTTCCAGCCATGCTGCGAGGCAAAACAAATATATTATGGCGAGATAAAATGGAGTATATGTAAGACAGTAATAGAGTGATATAGTGGGATTAGGTAGCTACTTTTATTTCATACATAAATTGGGTAAGAGTGAATATGGATAGAACAAATCTACATCTTTTGATGAATTAAGAGAGTGTAGAAGTTTCTGATAGAATCTTTAACATTGGTACAGAGGAATGCAGAGTGAAGGATATACAAATGAATACAACATGCCATGGCCTAGGAAATTTTAGAAATAATTAGTCCAGTTTGTTAGAAGCACAAAAGTACAAACATGGAATGCAGCTGGAGCTAGAGCCATTGCTGAATCAGCACAGCGGCCTGTGATGACAACATCAGCACCAAGCTCAAGCGCACGCACAATGGCACCAGCCCTGAGGTAAAGTACAAACTATGCTAGAAGAACACAGAAACAATATTGGTACAATATCCAAAATTCAATGTCACAAAAAATATGAGGAAAACCTCAACATTTCAACACATCAATTGACCAGAAAGAGCATGCAGCAACTTCATGACAATATTTCTGCACAAAGAACAAGCTATCAGAGCATGTTAGAGTTGTCTGATGCATTTCAATTTACATTTGTTCAATTTGATAAAAACCATCACTACTGAGCATTAGGATGCTAAAATATCATCAAGAATGCAGAATCTAAAATTGGAATCAATTTCTGCGTAAGTTGCTATGTGCATTTGACACTATTATGTCAGGTAAAACCTGCAGGAATATAATTATTTGACAAGCAGATGAGAAAGATGCAAACTTTGACATAGTACTAAACAAACCTCAAATTCAAGTCCCAGCATAGTCCCCCAACATACAAATAAGCTAGGTATATATCCATCTAGTAAGTAACACAACTGCTACTTATTTGATAGAAAGACGTGACATTGGAACCATTATTCCTTTTCACAATCAATAAAAGTCACTTACTCTTTCAGTGCTGGCAGTCACTGTGAGATATAAGATAAGAGTACCTAGTAAAAATATTCTAGTAAAAAGGTTTGCTATATTGGCTGATTCAAGTTCATAAAATTGCAGAGCATGAAACTGACCCAGTGTAGGCATTTATACTGTGGGGTTTTGCTGGCATGGGTTCACCAGTTGTTAAATCTTGAGCATCTGCAAAAGTGTGCACTTGAGACAGAAGATCATCTCCAGTAACAACACCAACCTGGAAAAAAGTTTGTTTTAGTTCAAATGTAAACAAAGAGTCAATACATAAGAATGGAATACCTGTATAATTAATGCAGTGCTAACAGATTTTACAATGGAGACAAAAATTTGATATCTCTCAATTTTTAAAACAAATATTTTTACAAACTTTGAAAATAGATATTGATGACAGTTGCTAGTAGTAGTACTGCCATTTTTAGAATTTTGAAATAAGAAAGTACCTTGATATCAATTCCAGCCTTTAAGGCAGCAGTCTGGAGTGCAGCAGCACATGCAGCTGGATTGATGCCTCCAGCATTGCTTATCACACGAATGCCTGTAATTTCATGAAAAGAATACAATAAATAAATTAAAAATTTAACTTTATATCTATCTATGGCATATTGGACTCCAATATATTGATTTAGGTATATGGAGTTTTTGATAGTATGTAACTACTGCAAGAAAAACAGTATAATACTCCAAGGAGAAGACTCGAAAAATCAAATAAAAAATATAACTCAGTACTCATTGCAGTGAGTGACAGAGAGCGCATTTTCTTGTCGACGAAATCTTGAGGTCACGGACAGACAGACAGACGGACATGGCGAGCACAATAGTGCATTTTTTCTATAAATGAGAAAATGCGATAAAAATAAGTCAAGGTTAACTGCCAACACTTGTCTTGAATAAAAATGCTGTCACAAAAGAAATGTTTTACCTTGATCTTTGATGTTTTTAAGTTGTGGTCCCACAGCATGCAGAACAAAGTCAGGAGCATAGCCCAGTTGAGGATTTTTTGCCTTTGCTGCAGTCAGCAAAGACATGGTTATTTCTGAGAGGTAATCCAAGATCAAGTAATCCAAACTTCCTCCCCTCACCAGCTGCTCCACTAGAAAGATTCAAGAAGTTTGATCAATTAGGAGTTTACACCAACATAGGAATCATCATTACAAGGCTAAAACTAACAAGACAATTCTCAACAAACAACAATATTTTCTACTACTAGCATTAGTCATTAGACAGATAGAAACTAATCTATAATAACAGCAGACAGCATTCTATGTGGTTTTGGTAAATTGGCCAGATGATTGTGATTGGACAAATCACTAGGGTCTCAAAATTTTCTGTCTGTTCTGCTGATCTGGTGATATAAGATGGGAAAATTTTCCCTTACTAGTAAACTCTTATGGCTCAGAAATAACATAATTTTCAATACTGTATAAAAATTTGGCTTGATTGTGCATTTTTGTTAGCATTTAAATTAACTAGGTAGGTATTTTAAGATGTTAAGTGCAATACCCTACCCTAACAAAATTTGGGGACTGCCTAGGCTTTGGCCGAATAGTCACTACACTCGGCGCAAAGTTATTCTGGGTCAGTTGGCCAACTGATCGAAATCAGCGACTAGTCAGAACCTCCTGGCCGACTTTATGGTCTCCTGAGAGTAGGGCAAGAGTTGGCAGAATCCCCTCACCAGGCTCTGGTAGCTGTCTGATTCGGGGGCCGGAATGTAGACCAAAAAGCGGACATAGACATAGAGAAGCTGATTTATGTTTGGTCCTAGTCCTAGGCGGTTCCTAATTCAGGTTCGCCACCAACTAAAAATTTTGATAGGGTACAACCCATTGGTAGGTTGTTGCTGATTTCCATCTGCTGCAAAACAACCTACAGGCAGCGGCAGGTTGTTTATAAAAACAAATAAAGTATTTAAAAGAACCCCAAAAAGTGATATTATTCTAATTTTTAGCACATTGTATTGATAATATAATTTAAAAATTTTAAATAATGGAAAATGTTCAAATGCTTTATTTGAATACCAGAAAAGGCATATTTATTACCTATTTTAAATTAGAAGGTTCAATTCAAACCCAAACAAAATCCTATTATCCTACCAGTGGGGATAAGCAGGCAGTCAGCAGTTTTGGGAATCACTTTCAACATGTTAAAAGATTAAATAACCTAAAAGGAATTAGGAATCTACTGGCTTGTTAATGCCAAAATGAGAGGAAAGCTTGAACAATCAGCAGCATTTTCTAAAATTATGGGTAAAAACAATCATTTCATTTGTGATTTTTAAAAGTTGTAGCTGAAAATTATAGAAAATAGATTGTTTCTAGTTTGTTTTTTTATAATAATAATGAGAAAAGCAAAATAGGAAAAGGTAAAATTGGCCGAATTCTCCGGCAATCGGTATAATACACACGTGCTTTTGACTAATTTTCTAGTTAAGTTGATTTTGTCCCTTCCTAGCCCCTCTTCAATCCTAACCCAAGTTCTTAGGTAAATAAATAAAAAGAATGGCATAGCTATTCTTTCACATTCAATTTTCAAAATTGCATCTGAAAAGTTTGCTGATATATGCAATTCAAATAAAGCTTTTTCCTGATAATAATAGGGCCATAGTGGCAAAGCAGAGAGTTTTTTAGACTCTCCCTCAAGTTCATTTTTGAGTCCTATAAATAGACAAGTAAAGTATCATGGATACCAGCATTATCATACATAAGAAATTGGTTCAAATCTTGAGTAAATGAGGAAATTAAAAATGAACTGATTCTAAAAAATCTCTGGTTTGCCACTATGAATAGGGCCAATACTCCAAATTGTCATACATAGTAAAAAGCTGAAAAAAGGACCAAAGCAAAGGGGATTAAAAAGTGCTGAAGTGCCACATTTGACAGATTTTGGCCTATGAAAATATTCTATATAGGCCTAGGCCGCCTAGCTAGGCAATATAGCTATATATATATATATATATGTACCTGCTGTAGGAGTATCTCCCCAAAATCCACTGGCACATCCTATTTTGCAAGGCTTTTTAAATTGGGAGAAATTAGAATAATGGCAAATCTGTGGGGCATTTAAAAACCCAACTTTCAGCATGACCGAAGATGATCCTGGAAATGAGCCGACTCCCCTTCTGACTGATATTGCTCGTCTGGAGAAGTGGCTGCTTGAAAATACCTTTCCAGCATTATAACTATCTTGTAATGGTTTGAAACTCCACGAATGATACGATCGAAAGAAACTTTTCCTCACAAGCAGCATTTTGTTATTTGTTGATGGTAGGCCCTATTACTTTTCTGATATTTCTGCATTAGCGAACATTTTTACGGACTAATTTTAATTTCGATAGTGGAATCCGCATGAAACGAAAATTTCAAAGTCCGAAAACACTCTATCCTAAAAACCTACTACCAGTAGGTTTTTTAACACAACGAATAGGAAGCCTACTAACAGTAGGAACACACAAACAACGAATACTCTTAAAAATGTTTATATATTCACTAAAAATTTCTTCTAAAAAAGAATTTCTTCTTTTTTCTTTAAAATTTCTATTGCTGGGACCTGCAATCGTTACAAGCCTTAATCAACACGATTTAAAATAGTTTTCTATGAGAAGTTTCCAACAGGAATGGACTGCCGTAGTTTTGACATTTATTCCACAGTTTAAAAAAATTCGTCAACAATATGGGCGATAGTTGCGCAAATAACACACAGATGTTAACTGATAACAATTGGACAAGAAATTAAACTGTTTGGGTGTATGATGACGATTCCTCTTGTTTATAATATAGAAATAGTACAGATATGTTAAAAATCACGACATATTATCCTAGGATATGAAAGAGGAGAAGAGAAGGACACAAAATTAACTAAATAGATGTCTCTTGAAGAAGGGAATATTCGAATGACGGATCTACTGAAGGTCATAGTGGATGACATACGGCAAGCTAATTACAGAAAAAATAGTTAATAGATTTTTCAAAATTTGTGACTATTGTAAGCTTTTAACATGAAAATTCTGTTGAAAAAAATTATGCCGAGTTTTTATAGAATTTTACAATAAATTTTCTTACGGGAATGTTCATCTACTAAGACCTTCACATTTCATTGACGCTTCCGTTGAAGAATATTTCTTCCTATCAAGTATATTTAGTAATTTAATTGTAGCTTGTTTGGAATAAAAATAATATTCATTTCTATAACACTTATCGCTAGCTTTTTTCCGCTCAGTCACGAAAAAATATTAATCGTTTGCTGAAAATGCTAAAGTATGAGTACTATGAAAACTCATTACTATTTAACTACTTGGCCACTAATTTAACGCAGATGAAACTGCGATGAGGGCTAAAAATTTTGCTGAAAGACGAACCAAGCCCCAGTCACAGCTTGGATGCTTCTGCAACATATGCTTGGTAGAACAAAGACTTCTTGTTTGCTGCATTTTACTCGTATAATATTAATTTATTGATTCACGTGAAGCCAACGTTAAATGCAATCACGAGCAACGGAACAAATTGTAAAGCAGTTGCAGCAAACAACTGACAGCGCCACTACGACATCTAACATAACATTTCTATAATTGATGTCATGTAAATGATTCTTACGTGGATCATAAGCTAAAAGAAAAATGAACTAAATAGACAATAACTAGTCTATTTAGTACTTCGATAATGAGTAATTTTCTTCATTACAATTTTAGGAGGGTTTTCAAGGGTTTTCATCAGATTTTCATACATTTTTCCAGACAGGATTAACCCCGCAGTGATGTGCGGTTAAGATGAAAACCCTGCAATGAAGTACGTTACGCTGCTGTAAATTTGTTTGTGAGGCTCGACAGCGCTTAAGAGCTGAACTGAATGGTCTCTGTGGCTTTTATGCCTTCTTTTGCGAGCCTCGAGAGCATAGGCTTGAAGATCTCTGCAGTGAAGGGTAACACCATCCCCCGCTTCTGGATCTCGCCGCTCAGCACCATCTGAGTCGCTATAGCGCACGGGTATCTGGGAATCATGTTCTAAAATTATTGTATGCTTAGGATTATTGTTATGTGTTTGATTTTTATCTGCTATTACTAGAATTATTTGTCAAGTTCACATTAAATGGTTTCTGACGCAGTTATTGGAATAAATATAGCGCACAATCTGTGGTATAGTGCCACGCTATGGGCACAAGAAAATAAAATGTCCACAACAGAATAGTTCTGACATCAAGGATTGTTTCGAAGAAAGTGAAATAAAACAACTTGTGCACTCACCCGACAGTTTTTGCCATTGCTGAGTAACCATGGGCGTCTCCGTAACATATGAGGTTGATACCTCTCTTCTCTCGGGTACCGCTGGGCCAGACGATGCCGATGTCGTGGCGGAGTACGACCAGGTCCCGCTCTCCCGGCTCTGGACCAGGGTCCAAAATTAATTACTTTGCATGTGTTCATAAATTTGGTATTGATTACCCTAATGTGTGGCTGAAAGTGTGAATTATATTTCTCAATCACAAAAAGTTCCAAATAATTCATGACCGGGACTGTAAATCATGAAAATACAAAGCTAGGATTTTCTGAAAAGAGAAATTGTTTGGTCTAATGAATGGCCCTAACAGTTAACATATAGCCTATAGAATATGTAATGGCTATAAACTAAAAAACTGCGTTGCAATTCATCCATGCGACAACGCTTTTTCTCGCTTCGATTCATCGACATCTAGAACATGTTGACGCTCCGAGTATGAACTCGTTCTAGATTAGATCTAGAGGAGGCTAGATAAAGCTATAGAGAAATATATGTTCAGACTTGAAATGCCTATGCACCAGATTGAACCTGGTAGAAGTCTAGTAGCTATTTTAAACTATCGTCAGCTTTGAAAATATCCGGTCAAAGGATCTGTTTTTAGATCTCCTGAGGATAAATCACGAAAAGTATTAGAATCGGCGATAGTCTACATCAGGCCTATTCTTCAGTGCAGGCATCACTATGGTATGATATATGATATGATATGATATGATAGGATATGATATGATATGATATGATATGATATGATATGATACGATATGATATGATATGATATGATATGATATGATATGATATAATATGATACGATATGATATGATATGATATGATATGATATGATATGATATGATATGATATGATATGATATGATATGATATGATATATTATGATATGATATGATATAATGTGATACGATATTCACTGAGCACAGATAAATTTATCATATGTGCAGCATTAGCAGAAACATCTAAGAAAAAACTAACCAAAAGCGAGTTTCTTAGCGAGGTACGATGAGAGCGTGTCGAGAGGCGTGTCATGTTTGGTGACGATCTCGTCCATGAGAAGCCCGAGCTGCTCCATGCCTGCGACGATGTCGTCCCTGCCGTTCACGCGCTCCGTTACGATCGCTTTGAGGTTGTCGTAGAACATGTTCGGGTCGAGGTCACCCAGTAGCGAGCACAGCAGCTGGCGCTTGGGTTGAAGTATGAATTGCTACTTTATCACTGTGTGTCCCTTGTGAATCAAGACACGAAATGTACAAGAATTGGCAACAGGCCATGGGTCTCTTTCTTCAGTGCCGAAACTTCTATTCTATTCTTATAAATTCATTGGAAATGTTATACCGTGAATACACTCGAGTCAAAAATAAGCTCTACTCGCAGGCCAATGATGGAAATATTAATTTCACGCATACGGAATAAATTTTATTGTATTTTTGGTGAAACAAAAAACCTTCGAAGTTCTTCGAATGTCGAGAAATGTGGTAGCCGATAGATTGCTAGTATTCATAATATTGACCTGCTAGGTCCATGCTAGCACATTCTGAAGGGAGTATGGCGGCTGACGACAGCCATATTCATATGATAATAATCAATTTTCTATGTATCACTATTATGCTTACAGCACAAGTTCACAAAGAATTTTAAAAACAAATAAAACGCCATTTTAATTCACATAATTTTCTCCGAAACTGAAAAACTTTGCTGTTTTCTTTGTATTTATAATTCTCACTCACCCATGTGACGTCAGGGCCTCCGGGGTGAAGGCTGGGATGAGGTTTCTCCTCCAGCAGCCGCAGCTGCACCAGGCCGCTCAAAAAGTCAGCGTAGCCACGGTAGCGCAGCGTGCCACGCAGCACCGTGTGTGCGTCAGTTATGCCTAACAGTAAATTGTCATTATTGGGGACATAAAATAGTGGTACAATTTATACTAAATGATGAGTCGCTAGGGAAATAGTGACTGGGTTCAGGGGTTGGTTCAGCCACGGTATCGCAGCGTGTCGAGCAGCACCGCGCGCACGTCAGTTTTATCTGAGTATTAACAATATAATCATTATTACTCGAAGAAAGGTGTAGAATTTAAATTAAGAAATGATAGCATCCACGAGATTAATGATGCATTGATAAGAATAATGATAATTTGTTCACGGTTAATGACCGGCGAGTGGGTTTGCTACATGATAGTATGAGTTACGGTTATTTTACTATGCATATCACAATAATACTTTATGAAATTTTTTGGGAAATCATTTTTTCCCACTAGTGCTATAACTTAAATAAAAAATGACAACTTTTTTGTAAAATACAAGGCGTAAACATGTGCTGCAAAATTCACGTTGCCTGGGCAACAAGGAATTGTTAGTTACGAACAATGTCAACGACTTTAATGGAAAAATAATATACAGCATATATAAAAATAAAGGTAATATTTGACAATTTCAACCATCAAAACGAATATATAAATAAATAAAATAAAAAATACTTTTATTTACCGTATTTTTCACGGTATACGGTAGAGTCTCTGTTGGGGAAACCTTCCAGAGACAAGCCTGGGATGAAGTCGAGCGGCTTATGGTCGGCCAGCAAAGCCCCGCCCGTGGGTATGTCTACGATCTGTTCACGCAGAGAACATTTTGACTCAAAATGTCCCTGCTTTATTTATTTAAACATGGTATAATAGGAAAAATATTTTTAATAAAGAGATTGATGTAATTTTAATATCAGCTCATAAATAGTACATCATCTATAATTTGCTTATAATTTAGTTGACTTGATTAAAGTTGATGGATTTGGGTTAAGATTAGGAAATTGAACAGGAGGAACAAATGGATTGAAAGGGGATTGACGTATCCTGACTGTTGCAAGGCTCGTAGCGGTGACATCTAGGTTTAATTATAGTTTTTGTGACCATGGCATGCACCTACATGAATAATCGATACTATAAATTTTATACTTTTTCTCAAATTCAGCTAATTTGCTCTTGATTATCAATTTAATCTATTCATTACTTCAAGAGATAATAAAATGATAATTTAGTTTATATTTTCACCATAAAGTAACCAACAATTGAGACCGATGATAAGCACCTTGTTGTTCATCATATACTTGGCATCAGCAAGAGCGTTGAGCAGCACACCGCGCGGGCTCCAGGAGAACTTGTACCGTAGTGGGTTGTCTGAGAACTCGGGGGCCGGGAGACCTCCGCAGTACGACGTGAACGACTCCACCTTGCCACCACCTCGACTCACCTGAGGCATGTTATTGTACAAAGATATTTACCTGAGTCATGTTGTTGTAGAAAGATATTTACCTGAGTCATGTTATTGTACAAAGAAATTCAACTGAGTCATGTTATTGTACAAAAAAATTCACCTGAGTCATGTTATTGTACAAAAAAATTCACCTGAGTCATGTTATTGTACAAAAAAATTCACCTGAGTCATGTTGTTGTACAAAGAAATTCACCTGAGTTATGTTATTGTACAAAAAAAAATCACCTGAGTCATGTTGTTGTACAAAGAAATGAACTCGAGTCATGTTGTTGTACAAAGAAATTCACCTGAGTCATGTTATTGTACAAAGATATTTACCTGAGTCATGTTATTGTACAAAGAAATTCACCTGAGTCATGTTATTGTACAAAAAAATAAACTTGACTTGACAAAATGTAGAAAACAAGTATTTCATGCAAAAAGTTTTTCGTTCATCAAAAAGTCTTTCGTACATATGAGAGTCTTAAAAGAGAAACGCGAGTTCAAATAGTCAAAAATGCAAAGAAATGTCAAACGTACATCATTGAGTCAAACTTATATCATTGAGCCAAACGTACATCATCGAGCTGAAGTTACATTAAAAGCTCAATCGCAAATCAAGGAGTCAATCATAAATTTACAAGGCGATCATACATTGCAAATCACTCGTACATCTTGAAGTCGAACAAATGTCAAGGTGACCAAAAACGAAGTGTCAAATATACATCATTTATTTGTAGATATATTTGAAGTTAGAAGAGCAGAAAACCGTCTTTTTTTATTTATTTTAACGATCTCACCATAAATTCTGGCAAGAATATTACATACAGTATTTGTTTCTAAAAAGTCAAATAAAATAATTATGTCGCGATGAAGATTCAAAGAGATTCCTATAGCAATTTTCATACAGCAAAATAAGAATTTTAATGAAAATGAGCACCTCATCGAAGCATTCGAGGGCAAGAAGGTGATCAATGCCAGGGTCCAGCCCCATCTCGTTGACGACGGTGATGCCTGCGCTCTCTGCCGCCCCGTGCAGGGCCGCCATGCCCGCTGAACAGTAGGAGGCTGTCACCAGGTTAACCTGTGAGAACCGCAGAAAATTGTCACCAGGTTAACCTGTGAGAACCGCAGAAAATTGTCACCAGGTTAACCTGTGAGAACACAGAAAATTGTCACCAGGTTAACCTGTGAGAACACAGAAAATTGTCACCAGGTTAACCTGTGAGAACACAGAAAATTGTTATCAGGTTAACCTGTGAGAACAAAGAATATTGTCACCAGGTTAACCTGTGAGAACCGCGGAAAATTGTCACCAGGTTAACCTGTGAGAACCGCAGAAAATTGCCACCAGGTTAACCTGTGAGAACCACCAGAATATTGTCTCCAGGTTAACCTGTGAGAACCGCAAAAAATTGTCACCAGGTTAACCTGTGTGAACCACCAGAAAATTGTCTCCAGGTTAACCTGTGAGAACCGCAGAAAATTGCCTCCAGGTTAACCGGTGAGAAGCGTAGAAAATTGTCATCAGGTTAACCTGCTCGAACCACAGAAGATTATTTAGATCTAGAAGTGATGATTTACTTTTTACAGCTCAGAAAAACAATAATACTGTACAATAAAAAAACAATTCATACATCTCACTTGTGAATAAATAATTAGAAATGAAATCCCGCTATTCCCAGCTTGATGCAGTGTTATACATAATAAATATGTTAATTCCGAGTCCACGTGCCAAGCGTATAAGCTAAAATAAATTAATTATATAATAAATTTCTTAAATTTTCTTTCGCTATGTATCTCTATAGGTTCTGTACAATATGAAGGGAGGAACGTGTGCCGAGACGTAATCATATTTTGACGTTATAGTGCATAAGGTTAACATTTTAGGTTAAAAATGATCACTACTCTGACTTGCCGGCTTGTTGAACTTCATTTTTACAACACTTCTCTTTAACTTCACTTCTTGTTTGTCTGTCTGTCTGTCTGTCTGTCAGTCTGTCTGTCTGTCTGTCTGTCTGCTACAAATCTTGTAATAGAAATTTAATACACTTCGACTTATCCTATCGATCTGAAATTTTGCGCACTTTTGTAAAATTGGAGACAATGCATGAATCAAATTTCAAAATAGATTATTTTAAAAATTAATTTTTTTTTTCAAAATTAAAAAAATTGAAAAAATAATTTTGTAAGCTCCAAATCTTATAACTGATATTTGACACACTTTTACCTGTCTAATTGATATGAAATTTTGCACACTTGTGTGAAGTCAGAGGCAATGCATGAATCAATTAACAAAATAAATAATTTGGAAAAAAGTATATATTAAAAAAAATTTATATATATTAAAAAATTTATATATAATAAAAAAATTGAAATGTTAATTTTTTAATTTTTGAAAATTAGATGAGAATTTCATTGTACATCTATAAGATTGGAGATTCTGGATTCTTAGGAAGTGTTGGCTTTAAAAAGTAATTTTTAAACGTATATTATTTCATCATGTGCTTGAGAATTCTACTGGTGGTCATCAATTTTTTGACAACCAAGTCTTCCTATAAAAAATGAAAGACCGAGACTGTGAGAAAACAATCGCCATTAAATACTGTAAACGTGTACTATAGAAAGGCAAATAGTACTTAACTTCGAATAATTTTTACTCAATACTTCCGCGCTCCGCGGTTTTTCTCATACCTCATAAAATATCTGAACATTGAAAAACCATTATGTTAATTAGAAGTAAAGTATTTTTCCCCAAAAATATTAGGTGATCTTCTTTTGAGGCCATTTATTTTTCGGTTGTAATCCTGTCGTGCTTCTCAATTTCACGCCATGAGCCCAGCAGCTCGTAAATTACCCGGCAGTTTCCAAATGCTACATTTATTTTATTGCTTTACCATTGGAGACGCCATAAAAAAGAGTCACGAAAAAAAGAATTAGGATACATGTTCCCAGGATTTTTTGTTACCTGTTCCTTATATTATATGTACGATTGCTAACATTTTATGATTGCACATTGAGACGCTCAGGTTGACTTTTAAAGTTGGATGTTCATTCATTCACCTCATTCCAATAATTTATATCTAAATTTCTGAAGCAACGTATATCCAAAGGTAATAAAATAAAAAACCCTGGAGCATTAACTTTGAACAATAATAAATAATAATGCAATAAAAAAAACACCCAGAAACATGCATACACCATCTTATAGCTGCTTCCATATCGATATCAGTCTCAGCTTCTTGTATGTATATTTTTTCAGGATATTGTAGTCCTGGGGCCATACTTTAAAACTCGCTAAGTGAACGTCAAGTACTTACATACGCTCTATTTTCTTGTCTGTGATTGGTGGATTTTGTTCGAAAGGTCGTCAATGATTGGCTGAAGACCTTACGATCTCTTAACTTCTTTGAAAGTATAGGTCCTGACCTTGTGGTCTATGCAGGCTTGAGCGACGGTGGGATGCATGGTATATGGTAGCAGGGATACCACGACATCTCTGCCCTGGATGAGCTGGTGGAGCGTCTCTGGCTTGTCGTAGATGTCCAGGAGGACGGGCGTCACGGCGCTGTACTTAGAAGCCAGAGCGTCCGCTTGATCTTTCAGTGCTGAAGCTGAGGTCAGGAAACAAATGAGTCGTAAAGACGACTTTGGTTTGATAATAAACTGTTAAAATTTGTTTCCTTGAACGTGGATATTTTTATTTCAGCACTGAAGCTGAGGTCAGGAAACAAATGGGTGGTTGAGACTAAGTTATTTTAATAATAAACTGTTAAAATTGGTTTCCTTGATCGTGGATATTTTTATTTCAGTGCTGAAGCTAAGGTCAGAAAACAAGTGGGTGGAGAAGACGACGTTAGTTTAATAACAAACTTTTGAAATTTGTTTTTTCTTAAGACGATATTTTTGTTAAGGTGCTGAAGCTAGGGTCAGAAAACAAATGAGTGGTAAAGACGACTTTGGTTTAATAATAAACTGTTAAAATTTGTTTCCTTGTACGACTATATTTTTTTGGGGTCAGGGTTCGAATGGGTGGTAAAAATCGACGTTGGTTTGATAATAAGCTTTTGAAATTTCTTCCTTGTATTGTGATATTTATGTTTGGCATGCCAATTGGGAAAAATATTAGTTGAAAATCATAAATTACTCATCATCGAAGTATTATCATAGTTTTTAACGAGTCAGTCTTCGCCAGAGAGTTAAAAACTGTTTTAATTTGAAATAATACCAGGATTACAAGCTGCACCTAATAGTATCACGAGTATCACGATAATCACCTAATAGTATCACAAAAATCACCTAATAGTATAGCGAGAATCAACTTTTAAAGGAAATTATAAACTTTTAATAAAAATAAATAGTTTTAATAATGTAATAAATTTTTAAATAAAGTAATAAACTTTGAATAAAATTAATGATAATTAGTAATTAAACTTTTTCCAATAAATTGTTTTTCATTTTTCTGTGTTCTGTGTTGAGGTGATGGACGAAAAAAGTGTGGCATCAAGTATCAGGTAATATGTCTTTATTATAATGACAACACTTCTCTTTAACTTCACTTGTTGCTGTTTGTTTGTTTGTCTGCTACAAATCTCATAACCGATATTTAACACACTTTTACCTGTCCAATCGAACCGAAATTTTGCACACTTGTGTAAAGTCGGAGACTATGCATGAATCAATTGACAGAATAAATAATTTTAGAAATCGAAAACAATTTATATATTAAAAAATTTATAAAATATTTTTTTTTTAATATTTAAAAATAAGATAAATTCATTGTACATTTATAACATCTAAGACACTGGCCTATTTTGAAGTGTTGTCTTTAAAAAGTAATTTTTAAACGCATATTATTTAGTAATTTAGACAGATTGAGATACAAAATTTCGTTCACAGAAATTCTTTACGGATTATCTTGTAAGAAAATTCTGAACTTTGAGAGAGATGGAACGGTTCGAAGATTGAATTTTTATTGGTTATTACAGAAATAAATAGACACTTTATTTTGCTAATAATATTGTCAGATAAATGTCAGATAAGAAAACAATTCATACATCTCAATTTTGGACTATCAATAATGAATGAAATCCCGTTATTCCCATGGTGTCTAACTCAACGTAATGCAGAGTAAATAACAAAATTCCGAGACCATGTGCCAAGAAATTATTCATATTGGCAATGTCGAAAATTAGAATTAAATGAACTGAGCAGCTAATAGAATAAATTATTTGGAGCAGCACCTAATAATAAAGTCCACAATAATATCATAAGTCAACGTAGCGGAAATTCTCAATACGTTCCAAATCTATCGAGAGAAAACAAAGACTTTTGGCTTCGTTGCGTTCAATATCAACAATGTACCGAGCTTATCTCCCAGCCGGCCCTTACTTCTAGCGAATAGGAAATGATTTATGCTTCAGAATTCCGCTAATAAATATTGGCAACTGGCGAATGCAAATTCGAGTCGTGCGGAGGGGAGTTTATGAAATTAGCTAATTGCTTTTTCAACTTAATGGAAACCAGAGAGGAGGGCAGCATGCTTGCTTTAGACGAACAATAATAACATTTATTAGAACTGCAACAGTTAATAATTTTTTATAGCAACAAAAATTAGATAAATTTGTTTTTTCGCAACTGAGTAAACTCGACAGCTGAAACAAACCGAGAAGAAGTCGTTTGAAGTTTTGAAAAATAATTTTTTGATGAGAGTGGAAATATAATTGACTCAGTTTGCCGGCTTTTAGGCACTAAACCAAATTTAATTTTCATGCTGCTGGATCATAAAATATGGATTCGTCGACCAAATCCACAAAATTAAAGCCTTCATGTCACCGCCGTCACAAACTCGCCTTCTATTTTCACGCAGGTCAGCGATGTACTGGAAGTTTGGTGTGAGCAAACCGTTGCTGGTGATGACAGCCTGCGAGAAAAGGTAGCTTTGTATTCAGTTTAATTTAAATGCACTTTTTCTATTATTATTAGCGGCCGAATTTACTGTAAATGTTAGTAAGTTTATTTTTTATAATGTTCAGAAGAAGTAGTTGGTCTTCAGTACAGTACGTTTAACTGATAATATTAACCAATAAACGAAACCTTCATATGCCATTGTGTGAAATAAATAGAAAGAGCAAAAACAGAGCAATACAGTTCTCTAATTGTCAGAAATTTATCTCTGTTTAGTCGACTTAATTGATAATATCAGTATTTAATCTCATTTAATTCAATTTAATCTCATTTTAGGTTTTATGTGAATTAGTAAGTCTTTATATTGCATGGTACAGGCTTGCACACTTCACATTAGTTTTTAAAGTTATTAAAATAAGTTTGATAATAACTATCAAAATTATGAAGAAACAATTCCATCATTAAAATTTTCAGGGTTTCGACAGTGAACAAATCGTGTTGCTTTGGTTCAGCTTAATGCCATACGTACGTTGCTGAATTTCATCAGACATCCAGCAAAAACGCAGAATAATCCTCTTATCGACTTGAACCTTATTTTACATCAGATGTGAACTGATATCTTGTATCTGCATTTGTCATTAAAAATAATGCGGGATAATTTAACGGTCTTAATTGAATCGTATGCTTAATATCATTCATTCGAAGTGACGCTCTGGCTAAGACTAAAGTATCCCATTAAACATCATACATTCGCCGTTTTAGAGCATTACACGAAAAATATTATAAAAACTTTCTTATTATAAATATAAAGCTTCTCACAGATTCGACAGCCGGCGTGAATTGATGCTCCTGGAAAGGCTTGGAAGCATCGGAGTGGAGTATGTCTTCAACGTGAGGCATGAGCATCGAACCGAACGAGTCCGTGGACTGTCTAGGCAACTGTGTGGGCATGTTGTCTATACTGCACACCAACACTCCCGGTCCTTTGAAACTGAAATTAAAATATTCCTTTATATCTAATAAAGCCGATCATAGCGGTCCAACAAATACGAATAAAGCTAGAAGGCATATATGAATCTTAAGGAACCAGGAAGACTCAAGTTCCAGTTCATAAACCGGAACTAAAAATGAAAATTATAGGTTTAGATATTGGGACTTTTCACAATGATTTGGTTTCATGTATAGGTACATCGTCGATCAAATACACGCACATGAAATCAACACACATGAATAATCTCTTCCATCTGTGCAGGGAATAAAGCAGTTCACAGGGATTGTATAGCATGATAAAGTCCACAAAAATGTATAGCATTGATGTAAATTGACTGCTGTAAAATATTTATATCGACACAAATTGTGGTTGAAGTTCTGTACTGAAGCATCTAGAAGCCAATAGAAACTTGAGCAATGAAAATGATTTCGATAATTGCGCCTATCACCCATAGTGCATAACTTCAATCTAGAATGATAATGGATTTAAATTTTTTGTTTTGAGCCTCCAATATTGGCGAAAAATCTATCGAATCTCTAAAACAAACCACACAAGAATATCTTGCTTGCCGTACAACTAAACTAAACTAAATTGTACTAAAATTATGCAACCGATGGAAAAATAACGCTTAATAGTACCATTGAAAACACGCATGAGTTCCCAATGTTTATGAAAGCCCAGAAATACGGTATTCGGTGTATACCTGTTCCTATCCTCATTCTGGTCTGCATCGTAGAGGCAGAAGGGGTTGTCGATGGTGGTGCACTCGGTCATAAACTCGATGGAACCTCCGGGATCGGCGGAAATGTCACAGATCCCGAGCATTCGGTGGGGCAAAGGGGGAGCGCCTTCCTGCAAACCGAATGTCGTGTCTTGCTTGATCTTATTAAAATGTTTGAGAAACGGGGCAATATTTGAGGGTGGAAGAATTTATGTAAAACGGAGGGAAATATTTTCGAAGCTTTTCAATGGTGCTTCGATGCGGAAGCTGGGCACGTAAAGGTTCAGAAAATAGAATTTCTTTCATTGGAAGAAGGTATGATGGGATTATTTCGAAAGTAACAGTTGAAAAGATGCCATGGATGAACGGACAGTATTTTCATGATTCCTAAAAACTAAAAATAAAAATTAGTTAGAGGATTTTTATAAATTATGTCTAATGTATAAAAAACAAATTTCAGTAAACAATATTTCTATCTTCAAGAGCATTGCTGAAAAATATTGAATAGATACTTTTTATTACACAAAAATTCAGTGCTTCACTAGGAAGTCGACGTTCTCCGTTCTAGGAGAAGCGAATAATACTGAACTGGTCAACTTTAAAATCAAACGGCATTGAAGAACTCAAAATCGCGTAAAAAAAATTTAACAAGAGCAGCGGAGTTACGTTCATGCACCAGCTGAAAAACGCAGCAGACTAGCGAAAACACCAACAACGCTGTGTTTCTTTATCAAAACCTACGTGGGTTTCATCGATTTCTAATTCACGTCTCTTTTTGAGTCAAAGATTTGCCAAAACTTTGTGTCGACTCCGTTTCTCTGAAGCTTCGATTTTGTTGATTTCTCAGAAAGGAGGACAATGGGAAGGCAAAAAAATATAAAAAATAGAAGCTTGGCTGGACTCTCGCAATTTTTAGTTTTTTGAACTCGTTTGGCGAATTCGTAATCTTGGAGCTAAAAAAAAACCGCGATTACCATTTTTATGAAATGATGAACCGGAATGACGGAGGAGCGATTTTTAATGAGGAAGCCAACGCCTACGTACAAAAAAGAAGGCCCAGGTTTTTATGGACTAGCGTCATGTTTAAATTTCATTATTCTCATTTCATTAGGACGCTGTCATATTTCGTAAGACAAGCTTCCCACCTTTACTGTACAAGGCAAACAGAATTCCTGACGAGCCCGGACTCATTAACGTTCCAAGTGAGAACGAATTTCTAAGACAGGCTACGAAATATAGTGTAACAAGGATTATTGGGCAAGAAGTTTAGATCTTTCTCTTCATTATAAGAGCAATGAGATAGTCGAGATAGTGAGAATTAAATGCAATGTTTGATGTTAAATTATTTGGTTATTCCTTAAAAAACGCTTGTTCTGTTTTAATAAAACATAATAATAACTATGGAGCCACCTCCAGTTTTGTGAAAGTAAGAAAACCGCCTTCAAATGAAATTTAATCACGATTTCATAAAACTTAATGCTAGCTTTGAAAGTAGAGATGAATAATTATTTGATAACTTATGGCGAATATTAAAATTTTATCTCAGTTTATCAGATTTGAATCGTATAATTTTTCAAGAGTAAATAATTTCATCTAAACTTTATATCTTTCCGGGCGAAAAAGATAAAAAGTTACCATTGTGAATTTAAGAATTTTATTAGAGATTGAAAATCTTTTTGAATGATTAGTAATCAGAGTCGATTCAGCAATCGACTGAAAAGGCCAATTAGTATAAAATTGTAGGTTTGCTTAATGCCTTTGAGCTCACCGAACTGGGTAGCCATGGAGAATAGACAGGCTGCAGAAGGAATTTAGCATCGGGGATGGTGAGGAGGCGTGGTGAATTCACGTCCCAGTAAATTCCGTTCACAATTACTGAAGCGTAAGGCGCAACCTGACGGCAAATTCGAGGAAAAATTGCTAATTGCAAAATTACTTTGCCAGGGAAATTGTAAATTTATGCATTCATTTTACGAAAAGTGATGCAAATGGTGATAAATGGTGGCATTTTGCATTATATGTATAGTTATGAAGTTTAAATGAGAAATTAAGTTAGTTAGATACTTGTAAACTATGATATTACATAAATCATTTTCCTGGAGAAGGTGTAGATGCATGACTCACATTCCTGGAGAAGGTGGAGATGCATGACTCACATTCCTGGAGAAGGTGGAGATGTATAACTCACATTCCTGGAGAAGGTGGAGATGCATGACTCACATTCCTGGAGAAGGTGGAGATGCATGACTCACATTCCTGGAGAAGGTGGAGATGTATGACTCACATTCCTGGAGAAGGTGGAGATGTATGACTCACATTCCTGGAGAAGGTGGAGATGTATCGGTCTGGATGCTCTTCGTATTCCGCTGCGTCGAAGCGCCCGGTGTTGCGGTTCACGAGATGATCTTCCCGACTTACTTCGCAGCCGTAAACTTTGTTCGTCCCTGCACAACAACAACAACAAGTAACAACAACAATAGTTCGTAATTTGATTTTTTCTTGAAGTAATTAATTAGGCTGCGAGCTCTGAGGTCGAAGCCACGCAACTGCAAGAAGTAACTTCACTGCAAATACAACAATTGTTTTAAATTAAGTACGAGAATAAAGTGTTAAACGGTTATAAATTCAAGACAATAGTGCAATAAAACTCACATCCCTTTTCTGCAACTTTCTTAAGGCCTTTGATGGTAACATATTCATGAGGCAGGTCCTGGAATATTGCCTGTGCTCCTTGCGACACGTTGCCAGTGCCCGTGAAGACGAAGGTGAGAGGGCCAATAGAGCGCGGCATCATGTTTAGCGAAATTTCATAGCCAGCGTCTCGGATGACTTGGCGGGCCATTTCCGTGTTACGGTAGTTGTGCGCTGGCCCGATGTGCTGTAATGCCACGCAAATTCGGTTATTTGGGACATTTCCGGGAAAATATCGTGGGTTTGTGATGTATGATGGTTGTAACTGAGTGATGGAATCGCAATTATTTATATATATGTTTTTTATATTTACATTGAAAATTTCTTAATCTATCAGAATGTATAATACTCAAGAAATGGTAGAGCCTAATGTGAAAACGGTAGTCATTATTTAATACGGACCAATCAAGTGCAACTTGTGCGTTTATCACAGAAATTATCTTTTACTTTAGATTGCATTGGTACATCACAGTAACACTATAGTCACCATGAATGGCGTGTGATGACCTAGCGCCAGCAGCCTGATGCCCAGGCCGTGCAGGATGTTGATCATGCCCGCTACCCCGGCGAACGACCCGAAAGCAACGACTCTTTGGCCACTTTCATCAACCATTTTTTCATAGTCAATGAGACGTACGTTCTGCGGATTGAAATTGCACAAATTCATAGTTAAAAATCAGGATGTGAATTCGCAGTTAATGACCACTTCCATTAATTTCATTCCTTCAAGAAATATTCTTGGACGTCCAGTACGTATTCGAGAAAATTTGCACAAAATGCACGGACTGAGTTCGTTTTCTAAGTTTATTCATATTTAATAGTCTCGAGGTAAACTTGTGTATAAATGCGTTGCTTTATTATTGCGTAAAAATGGATTGATGATGAATAAAAAATCTTCCAAACACGATTTCATTAATTTATTCTAAACGAAAGGACTCGGCAATTACTTTACCTCTCGTAAAGCCTACTGATTAGATTGGGCGACAAAGAGGAAAAATTTGCCAAATTTTTCCATTGTGTTATGAAAATATATTGCTACAAGATAAATACGTAGGTTTATAAATAAAATAAAATTTGCAAGGTGAAGTCACAAACCTTTTCGAGCAGCCCGTCGAGCAGCGCCATGTTGGCCTCCTGAGCCTTTATAGTGTGCGAGAAGAAGCAATAAGTTTTGTTAGGGATAATCTTGTCGACTGGGACTTGTTTTACGCCCATGATGACCGAGGCCTCGCCGATGTCTTCCTGTATCTTGGCGCCTGCTTGCTGATACATCTGCAGTGAAAACAAAGGAATTATTAGAAATTTAATAATTAATTTAATGAATTTCTTTGAAATATAATGTAATGAAACTGTTGGAAGGCCGGGGATACGGTTAGGCGAAATTATCTAGTATGGACGGTGCGATTATGAGTTACAATGCGATATTAAAGCAGGAAAAAGATGGTCATAATGCTTTCATTTTAGTAAATAAGTCGTTGATTCTGTTAGCATATTTGAAAAAAATTTAATTTACCGACTGCTCCACAGTATATTAGCTACGAAATAATAAACTCTCCGTGCGATCTGATTCTATTTCAGTACAAAAAAGCATTTCAGGAAGAGAATTATCCTGCAAAATCAGCATAATTTTTTAATATATAAGGGAAGATGGTGTTTGAGAAGACGACATTAGAAATACCAAGGCAAAAAAAAAAAAAAAACCTTGGCCAACCCTTGGTTTATTGAGCAGGAAGAACGCTAGGGATTCAAGAGACACCATAGCAGTGCCGACATTATTTATTAAGGGCATTAAGACCTTATATACCCAGCATAAAAAATGCGTGTTTTTTCCTGTTGGATGAATACTTTAAGATTCTCACCTCTAAGAAATTTAAAAGGCGTTTCTCTGAATTTCTCCTCGAGCTTCTTAGCTATGTTTATTATATAAGCTATGAGGCTTTTGCCCTTATGTATTAATGACACTTCCGTTTATTATGAAGATGTGAAGCATGTTGTTCCCAATGTCATATTGTCACCTTCGTTCATTATAGAGACGTGAGGCTTGTTGCTCCATTCGTCATATTGTCACTTCCGTTTATTATAGAGATGTGAAGCTTGTTGCTTTCTTTGTCATATTGTCACTTCCGTTTATTATGGAGACGTGAGGCTTGTTGCTCCATTCGTCATATTGTCACTTCCATTTATTATAGAGACGTGAGGCTTGTTGGTCCCTATTTCGTATTGTCATCGCATTCTACACTCAGAATATTGCCAGTCCGGTGTTTCGGACAGATTAGTGAACAATATTTGTACGTCACACGACGCAGGTTGGTGATCAGACTAAAGAATGGATTTCATTGCATTCAAAATATAATCAATGACAAATACTGAATGTTATTTAAAGTTTAAAATGACAATGCATATGTAATCGGATGTTATATGGATTATTTCCTTCAAGATATTCTTTTGGTACTGAATGGTGATTATACCTTACGACCTGCCTGGAGTATGCCATATATGTATGGAGTATTTATAATAAAACCAGTGCCATATGCAAATTACTTAAAAAATCATGTTTTATTGCATTATATTGATATTTTAATTTGAGAGTAGGATACACCAGTTAGTTATCATAATATAATCGAGTACAAATGAATTATTAATATAAAATTTCTCTGTTTGTACTGAATGATAATCATTTTAGCGCATTTCCTCATTTATGGAAAAAATGCTCTATTGTGCTCGCCATGTCTGTCTGTCCGTCTGTCCGTCCGCCCATGACCTCAAGTTTTCGTCGATGAGAAAATGCGCTCTCTGTCACTCACTGCAGTGAGTACTGAGTTATATCTTTTATGACCTACGCTGGGTTTGCTAGTTAGTTCTCATATTAAAATTAAATGCAGTAAGAACTATTTCTTCAAAATATTTGAAATGCATCTTAATTATTGATTATGACCTGCGTGGGGTAAGCCCTCCTGTTGGAGGGCTGGACCAGCACCCTGACGCCCTGCCTGACGAGCTTCCTCACATGCTGGGGCGCCAGCGGGGCCCGACGCTCCCACACCGACTGGTCCTCCCGTCTGATGGCCATCACGCGGCCTGATATTGACGCCTTAGCAAATAATTTATACCGTTAGTTTGCTTAAATTGGTAATAGATTTATTGTTAATAGATTTTTGGTATTAGATTTTTTGTTAATAGATTTTTTGTTAATAGATTTTTGTTAATAGATTTTTTGTTAATAGATTTTTGTTAATGGATTTTTTGTTAATAGATTTTGTTAATAGATTTTTTGTTAATAGATTTTTTGTTAGAATAGATTTTATTTTTCTTTTTCCGATAAAAATAATAACTTTCAAGATATTTGTGAACAGTTAATGAAAAAGAAAAAAAAAGTCGTTCAATAAGAGAAGTTCACCTTCTCATGTTGGGTTCTGTGTGAAGGCCGATTCAGAGCAGGACAGGGGCGGCACAAGGGCGCCGACAGCGCCCGAGGCGACAGCCGATACATCTGCCGTTAAAATAAACACAATTTAATAAGGAGAAACTCTCGACAATTAAGTGTACATTTTGATATTTCATTTTCATGTACGAAAAAAATTATATTTAATTTGGGATCAGCGCGCATCAGCAGTTCATACTATTATAATTTTTCGACCGTGCACGAATCGCTCCACAATTCAGACGAAAACAATGTTAAAGAAAATCTGCTATTTCATTAGTTTTCATGAAGGTTAGATAATACGCGATGGACTTTTAATTAATTGCGTAACCGTTACGGTTCACACTTGATCTGAAGGAATCTAATCAATGGTGCTAAAACTAGAGCTAAAGTAATGGATAAGACTTCAGTTGAAATAGATTGAAACTGAATTGCAAAATTTATCGATGAATTGCAATTAATCGATGAATTGGAAAGTCGCTGAACTGCAAAGTAAAGATTGGACAAGTTCCAGCAAAGTCGCTCGATGAAGAAATTCATAGTTCCCTGTTGGGCCACAAATCGTGTAAGCGATGTTGAGTTTGATTAACGTGAAATCAGTGCTGCGAATTGAGCAATTTATAATGAGTTGAAATATTTAAATGGAAATGATATTTACATGCATGTGACAATAGAGACTGTATTTTCTACAAATTTGGAAGAAAATAGAACTAAAATGAAGTGCGAGGTGACCGATAAGAATTCAAAGATAGTTCGCATGCGTATCAAATTAATGCGTAAAAATATCGTCAGATTAACTGCGAAGAACTAGGAAATTGAAGCTGGCCTTCACTACATCCTGCTACCGACACTTATACTGAGCTATTTCCCTGCCAATGTCTTTCAATGGTGAACGCATTGAAATATTGCCTTTTTCTCACCATAAACCTTCAGTATTTATTCAAATTCTTGTTCTAGAGCTCACTGCTCAACAACTGCTCCCAGCTGATCAGGAGTGCCTACTGCTGCCTTAGTAGTTCAGGGGGCCACTATCTCGTTAGCCCTGGACTGGTTTAGGTTTTTTTTTGTGGGCAAGTGGAAGAATACGAACTGGCGAACGGCCTTCACTGATTGCCATTTATTGATATTATTAAGGAACATATCACGACCGAGTAACTCACATTATTTAGATTCCTTTGCAGAGGCGCGAGAAATAATCCAGGTTATTATTGCTGGAACAGTTAGTATATAATATATTGATGACTAGGACTGGGTTCAATTTTGATAAGGATTGGTGTGAAGAGTAAAATACAAAGGAAAATTAGTCAAATTAGTCATTGAAATGATTTTATAGTTTAGGTATATACAATATGACGATGCAATGACTTAATTTTCCATCTATGTGAACTGGTGTCACCAGTTAGGCACAATTGCAGCAGTGGAATTTTCCAACTACCTTTGTTTTCTCCGAGCTCCTTGAATACGTATTGTAACGCTTGAAAAACAATGAGCTAATGAAATTTTTTATGTTTATATCAAAATATTTTGAGATTATATTTCAGTAAGCACTTCTTGCAAGTGAGTCGCATGCTACAAGAGTGATTTTTCGTAACGGGAATTGATCGGATTAAAAAAACGGTGATCTTATACATATTTTTGCGTGCAGAGTTTGAATCAATCTCCAAGAAGAATGATGCAAAAAATGCAGTTGATGGGGCCGTGAGTTTATATAAAATGATTATTAAAGGCGACAGGTATATTAAAATTCTATGTCTTAATATCATGCGTAACTTCGAATAGCTATTATATATCATTTTCTATTGATAATCACTTTTGCTTTGTAAATTCTGGAATAAAATAAAAAATCTTTTATTAGACGAGGACATAAGCTTGTGAAATTATCCTTGCTCGAGCGGCAGTTTATTGAGGAGCTTCATCAGCAACAAGCCACCCTCTTCAAACTGGTTTAGGCTCTGCGAGATAAGGTTCCTTCGTATTTTTATTGTAGTGCTTCTTCAGGGATGTCTATCAGTCGAGAGCAAAGGATCCCATTTATTAGGGATACTCTGACTCATAGGACTAATGTAACAAATTTAGTCAATACATTTAACATCTGAGAAATTGTTGGTAAACTTCCTTCGTATTTTTATTGTATTGCTTCTTCGGGGATGTCTATCAGTCGAGAGCAAAGGATCCCATTTATTAGGGATACTTTAAATCGTAGGACTAGCGTAACAAATTTAGTCAATACATTTAACATCTGGAAAATTATTAGTAAAGTTACAATGAGGATTGCTGAACAGTTACTAGACCATAATTAAAATGCACTTAAGTAAAGCTCTCACTCACATGCAGTACAACAAATGTTATAGACAAAGTTGCCAAACTTAAGCGTGTTTCCATCAGTCTCATGCATCTTCCTGTTGAGTTTAGATGCAGACTTTAAATTGATGAGAGCATCAGTTAGATGAGAAAGTTATATTGATTTATAGTACCTCGATGGATATATTCACACGCGGCTAACTGCAAATGAAGGCTAACTGCAAATGAAGGTCAATGGCTAACTGCAACTGAAGTTATACGTACGATAATATTAATTAATTGAAAAATTTTCAAAAAATAACGGAACCAAAATTAGAAGAGGATAAACGAATGGATCCTTGAAAATGTATATGACTTACGCACCAGGCATAATAATTTAGTACTTAAAGAAAACGACATAACTCAGTGGGAAGAAGACATTTAAATTTGATGCCATTAAATCCTCAGAAGGTTTACAATATTAACTTCACATCTTTGAAATTTTTACTATCTGTTTGGCGTGACGTGTGTTGACTGCGTGCGATGCATGATTGAGTATTTCAATCTTCTTCATGGAGAAAGTGCGATGAATATTGCTAAGGAACTTGACATCTTTATGCTATATATTCTTTGAGATTAGAACGCGCAATAGATTCGTACGTCATCGCCACGGTTAAAAAATATATGCTGCACAGAAATTTAATACATCGAAGCACATTTTTTATTTGATAAAATCATAAAGAACTGTTGTTCATGATTTTCCGTGTTGTTTTTGACTTTGTGAATGTTTAAATTTTTCGTCCCCAACATTGTTAAATTTCGAAGTTGTCACATTATATATTCATTAACAAACGGGTGCACGCGCTTGCCAATTTAATGAACAAACTGGTGCACGCATGAACAAACTGGTGCACGCGAATTTCTTCATCAATCTTTTATAAATGTTTTCTTTCGACTAATTTCGTGACGTATGCGTACACACGGCGATGTATATTAGGAAACTGTAACTGCATTGAACTGAACAAATGAAAGGAGATTATGCGCTTGAAAAATCGTATTGACCTTTGCGCTCGCGACTGAGGTTCTCTTTTGAGGAGTTCTTGTGGCGCCCAAATTGGAACAGACCTGTCGACATGGTCTTGAGAGCTCCAGGAGAGCTGTAGCAATCTTCGACGAGTGTGTGGCACTATAAAGGCCGTATTTCATTCTCCATTCGAATACATCTTAACATGAATAACTTTTTACGTTTTGAAGGGTTTTTCAGGAAAAATGTGTCAAGTGATTCGAAATTAATTTATTTTGGATGCCAATATAAATACAATTAAAAAATAGAAGCATTATTTATTAATATTCTATTTTGAGAACTAGCACGGAAATTATATTTTTTTTATTAATTTGTGTCGCATGAAAATTTTTCCGGAAGCCTGAAATGTTACAAAAATTGCGCGACGTACAACTCAACTGACATATCAAACAGAATTTATTTTTGCTTAACGTTAACATGCCATTCATTTACGCAGTAAAAATAAACTATCTAAGTCATAGAGCGGTTCACAGAAGATTTGTCTGTTTATTCCATAAATTGTCTGTACAGAATTTCGTACAGACCATTAAAAATTATTTACTAAATAATATTTTCTGAACTTAAAGTGAGTTTAATGAGATTTTAGTGACAAATTCGCCCTCATTATTCGAGATCTTGTTCAAAAGCATCCATTAGACGCATTCTATTATAGAAAGAGTCATAAAAACAGAATCGTTTAATGCATTTTTTTCTCATGGCCCCATTTTTTGGACTTATGAAACATCGCTAATTCCACTCGGCGCGTCAGAAGTGACGCGATGTCTAATAAAGCGCGTTGTCCTGGGATCAGACGAGCGCTCCCGTGAATTGCAGAGAATGCAATAAAGTCCCAGCCTAGCTAGGCACAAATTCCCTGCACTTCAGGGACGCTTTAATAATATTACAGAGCGTCACAAACAATTGTTGCCATACTGTCATCAGGATATTTCATTCTGGTCTTTTCCATTTTTTATTCCGGTGTAAAGTTATTAAATTTGCATGAAATGTTTGTAGGGATTTTTGTCAAACTGTATTGTTCAGCGCGTGGAAAATAATTCAAATACCTCAGGATATAAAAAGCAAGAAAAAAATTTCCCTACAGTTTCTACAATTCGAAATTGAGCGGAAACTGTGGGTGAATATTAATTCATTTCCTATGCTATTCTAATTAAGGTTATTCATCTTGGAAATTTTTATAACAGTGGATTATTTTTCTACATGCTGATTTCTATTTCACATTAGAATTTTGTTTTCGCTAGAAAAAATTGAAGCCAGTTGGTGTATGAAATCTATACTTATAGTGAACATCGGCCGGGATCATAATCCTTTTCTGATTACCTCGGCCTGTTTCGTCGAAATTTTGTTGTCGTGGTCCCCTTTGTGACCCCGACATCGAAATTAAAAAAATTTAGAGCCAGAGCTGGTAGTCCGCTGGTGCATATGAGAGCGTGTTAGGCTTAACGAGTCCAAGTTTCGAGAGAGAATAGCACACATGTTTCTTCAGCCAGTGTTTCAATCATCATCAAAAATCGGCATGAAAAAATCGCTACACCAAAAATTCTTAAAAAATAGGTAAAAATATAATTATTAATAGGTGCATACAATTATTTATTCACCTGCAATTATTCTAATAATAATATCGAAACAAATCATTCAGAGTGCCTTCGTACTTCTTTTTAGCGCATTTTCTCATTTATGAAAAAAATGCACTATTGTGGTCGCCATGTCCTTCTGTCTGTCGGTCCGTGACTTCATGTTTTCGTCGACGAGAAAATGCGCTCTCTGTCACTCACTGCAGTTAGTACTGAGTATACTTTTTCTTGATATATACAGGGTGTCCCAAAAAAGATCCCCAACTTTGAATGGCTGTAACTCCAAAAGTACTAGAGTTAAAAAAATTTGGAGGGTCAGGATTTATTCCCTATGTCTTTCTGCATCTCTCCACCAAAAATCAGACAGATCGATGTAGCCATAAGCGTTTGATAGAACTTTCAGTGACATGTGCTAAAATCGTGCTTGCGCAAAGTTTTAGTAAGACAATTTTACATAATCATTACGTTGTCTTGACATGCTTTCTTTTCGATGTTTTATTTTTTGTATCTTTGGTGAGACAAAAACATTGCAATCTTTGGTGAGAGAAAATCATGACAATCTTTGTGAGAGACAATCATGACAATCTTTGGTGAGACACAATCATGGCAATCTTTGGTGAGACACAATCATGATAATCTTTGGTGAGAGGCAATCTTTGGTTTTGAAATTTCCTCTCACCAAAGATTGCAATGATTGTGTCTCACCAAAGATTGCCATGATTGTGTCTCATCAAAGATTGTCATGATTGTGTCTCACCAAAGACTGTCATGATTGTCTCTCACAAAGATTGTCATGATTGTCTCTCACCAAAGATTGCAATGTTTTTGTCTCACCAAAGATACAAAAAATAAAACAGCGAAAAGAAAGCATGTCAAGACAACATAATGATTATGCAAAATGATCTCACTAAAACTTTGCGCAAGCACGATTTTAGCACACGTCACTGAAAGTTCTATCAAACACTTATGGCTACATCGATCTGTCTGATTTTTGGTGAATAGATGGAGAAAAACATAGGGAACAAATCCTGACCTTCCAAAATTTTTTAACTCTAT